CACTTCGTATCGTTCGGGAATAATTATAGGATAAAACCTGAAATATAGGTTGATAACGGAATGGTGTCGATCAATAAATCGATAATTTAGCGTTTACCTTCAGCTCAGAAACATCAACTTTTAGAGCTTCAGCCACATCCAAGGCGGCATCAAGGCGATCCTCAACCTGAAAATGCCTTTCTAAAACTCCTTCAACGATTATATGGATAATCAAGGCTTTAGATCAATAAATCAATAACTACTCGATAGCGCACCGGTCCATCTTCTTCATATAAGGCTTCGACCCAGTAGGTGTCCTCACTTCCGCATGGATTACGATTGTCTTCCTTGACGATTAGTTCAAGTACCGACACCGGCTTTGATTGTGTTGAGATCTGGGAATGGGAACGTTATGGGGAATGGGAACAGTCACAGGGGAAAAACGATGGTTCTTTTGGGTAAATTGTGAAATCACCGAACATCATAAACGACGGTAAATTCGCATTAACTCACCAAAGTTTGTTTTGCGCTATCCCTTTTAATATGATCTCTTTCTTTGATTTTTTGAAAGAAAAAATATTTGCTAAAATTCGTTCTGGTTCAGAATTTTCTTGAAAATCTCGATATTTTACACGGTTAAAATGAGAAGGATTTTAGAATAAAAACAAGAGAATTTAGAATGGATTCTGCGACTTTATATAGGGTACCTGTTAGATTTGGAATCAAAAGAGTATCAGAAATGAGAGTTTTGCAAAGTTTTTTTTTATAATCGGGTACTTAAAATAAGAAAAAATGCTTCATAATTCAAAGAAAGTCTTCATTCCAAAATGTGAAATTTTTTTGACTTCTTCAAAAATGCTTTGAATTTCTTGAGTTGAGCTACCTATGAACTCCTACTTTTCCATTTTATTTGAACAAAGCAGCTGGGAATACTTTAATTTTTATTCTTTTTGGGACCAATTCATTTTTTTTCTCAAAATGAGGTTTCTCTGAGTATCAGGACGAAAGCAAGGACCTCGAGTTTCATAAATTTATCTATTTTTTTCAAATTTTCAAATCTCTTTTCTATGAATTTTGAATCATTGAATTATTTCCTATTTTTTTACCCTTTTTTTTAGCTTTCCAAAGTCAGCAAATTTTATCCTCACCTTTAGTGTATGTTTCCCCACATCATCTTTAGTTGGAATTCCCTGCAGAACTCCATCGCGGACGAGTAACCATGCTGGTAATCCACCCGCAGCGCTGACCACTGTCTGAAAATTCCTGTCATAATTCAAATTCTCTTGCAAAAACATCTCATAAACCCGGTAGACAAACACGGGGTCTTATCATCGGGGCCTAAAAGTCAAAACAAATAAACAAGTGGCGCGGACCTTTTGTGATAGCGGCTTTTGATAGACTTGGCCGACATAGACGAGTTCTCGCATTGCTGCTGCCGCCACGAACACTGGCAGCAGTAACAGCAGCCACATATCCTGAAACTATGGTGGTGATGACAATGTTGTGACAGGTCTAGAGTACGGTATGGGCGAAGGACGAGGAAGTGGTCTTGCCAAAAAAACAGCAGAAAAAACAGTAAATTATGCAAATACATGTTTATTTAAAAATTGGAAGCTAACGTGCTGAATGGCAATGGGCTATATTGTATTACGGTAATGATACGGTAGCCTCAGAAAGGGATAAACGAGTTACATTTTACGAGGAAGTGGCCTTTGACATGATAATAACGGAAAAAGATCAGAAAATTATGAGAAAAGGTCATGAAGTTGTTGAAACGAGATAGAATATAGTGCCGAACGATTACGGTAAGCACGTTGGTAACACGGTAAGGGTACGGTAGCATCAAAATGAGGGGAAATAGAATAGGATGTGGTCTCGCATAATAACTATAGCGAAAGGCTAGATAGCTAGGCTAAATATGGAAAGTTGAAAAAATTGGTTCCAGGAAAATGAGATATTGTGCTGATCAACTGGGTAGATACGGTAGCTTTACGGTAGTGGTGCTGTCGCGACAAAAAGTGATGAAATGTGTGGAAAACTTCTCTCCTCCTGTGATTTC